TATATATATATATATATATATATATATATATATATATATATATATATATATAGATATATATATATATATATATAGATATATATAGATATATATATATGTGTATATATATATATATATATATATATATATATATATATATATACCAGATATTTAATGTAAGCAATGAACTCTTTATCGCCCTATCTCTTTTTCTATGTTAATATATGATAGATGTCTTAAGAATAAATCATAACAAACATAAAGAAAAGAAAAAAAAAAAGAAAGAAACACTGATGTGTTCACCGCTATCATTTACGAGCCACCAATTATGTTAATTGTCATTGAGAGAATAGTGAGAATACCAACAATAAATATTCATACACTACTGTTTTATCGTCAAGATAAAACGGGAAGCGCAACACTTACATGCCAAAGAAATCTACGAAAGGAATGTAAACATATCAATGGTATTTCGTAGGACACGAGACTGGCGTTGCCTGGTGGATAAGGTGGCTCAAATCTGAAGGTGATATGTCGGCTGTATATAATGTGTGTTTTCTTCTTTATTTGCATCTCAAATTATTTTAATTTTAAAATTACAGAGATCATTTTGTTTACGGATTGTCAATAGTGACTAACGAAAAATATGTTGCGATCAGGTATAGCATAAGTCTACGATACAGTAAAAAAAATGAAACAAAGTATAATAGGTTACAGAGAGAAAAGAAGAAAACGAAGGGGGGAAAGGCGTTACGACTCACCAGGAGACGCTAAAGCGCCACTAGAAGAAAATTAAAAAAAATTCGCTTCTATATAAAAATTTTGGCGTAACGTTAAGTAAACTTTACTTACATACGGATCTGATCCTACGATCGTTATATATAAATAGACGATATTAATACTCGAAATTTGTTTACAAAAATAAAACAACACGGGAGAATAATTAATTCTCTACCTATAAATGAAAATTAAATTCACTATCTAATCACGGCTAGAAAGATAATGAAAGAAATGATCCGACCAACGATTCCCTTGCGTGTCTAACATGAGTCCAAGTCCATACGTAAATTTTGATTCTTGGCCGTTAATATAATACACATATATCACTTTATGCAAAAAGATGCTTCTATAGATCAGTGGCGCGCGTTCATCATCATCTCTATATAGATTTTAGAGAATCGTATATATCTAAAACTTATACTCACGGCTGCTGTTATACTTAACTGCTGACTTAGTGATACCTAATCTAACCTAACTCATCCTCGAAGTTATATACGCTTAACTAAAATACTTTGTGATCTAAATACATTAACTAAACTTAAAATATATCTCGAGCGTCTCTGGGATTGATCCCTTGAGAACCACGGCCGTCAGTTGGTTCTTGCCACGCGGACGGTCCCGGCATACCGGCCATCATCTGATGTTGAGGAGGAGGCGCCAATTGATGCGTCACTTCCTCGACGATGCACGGTATCGAGATCTTGTCCCAAGCATACTTGTTGAGAGTAGGGTTGAGGGCCAGTCCGTGAACGCATACGACGCTCTGTGGATGGGAGTGACAGGGGTGTTGGTGCTGCAACACGAGAGTTGTGGTCGTAGGTGGTGGTGGTGGCGGCGGCGGCGGCGGTGGTGGAGGTTGGGGATGATGAGGAGGAAGGGAGGTGAGCCACGTCGCGGCTGGCTCGATTCTGTGTCATTTGCCGGTTTGTTGTAGCGCCGTGTTAATCTGCGTCCACAATTCTTTATTGCAGGATTGAGATCTAAAATCGAGAACATCGGTATAAGCTCGAATACTGTTGGCTCCGTTTGCATTCGATCGCATGATAAAGAATTTCGGACTCGCTCACCTTTTAATGGATTGCAGCCACTCTTTGAACTGAGTATTTCCTTCAGGATTGATCTGGAAAGCAGCCCGGGCCGCGCATACAACACTAGCGAACTCTTCGTAATCGCTAGACGTTAAGTGATACAATTTTTGATGCATACACTGAATATACCTGAAATCAAGAATATACAAAGTGTTATTTGGCGCTGACTGGAAAAGGCAGAGCCTCTGACTTAAAAGGTAACTCTAATCTGTTACTCGGTCTTTGTTCTGATAAAGAACAATACTAACATCTGTTGGCACTTGTGTACTAGCGGCGCCAATAAGGCAGATCTCAAGTGCTGCAAAATGAGCGCCGGATTGTTTCTAGCAAGATATTGAGCCGCTTCCAGAGCGACATGATGGAGAACGAAGGGACTGACGATACTGTTCACAGCGCAGATACAGAGCTGATGCATATATTGTGTACCGAGACGCTTCGCGACTCTGAGCAGGAATTTGACATCTTCGCCATACGGTGGATTTCGAGCATACTTAGCCTGAGGTCGGTCGTCGTGTACTCTACGAGCCAAAGTCTCTAAAGCTAACATTCCCACACGATAGGCAGAGACGAGTGTCCGCAAATGTTGCTGACTGAACGGTTGATTTTGCCTATGCACCTGCGACAACAAATTTAACATTTTTATTTGTACCACAAGACGCACACACGAAGTTAATCTTATACTTTTATTGTACTATGGAAATTACCTGAGGTTGAGTTCTTACAGTCGATATTATAGGTTGTGTTTGGACCAACGGCGGCCCGGGTAAGGTATTCTGTCCTGGGAGAGGACCAGCTACTCCCGCTTGAACCTGAGTGAAATATGAGTTAATGTAACTCTCCAAAAGAAGTGAAAAAACAAGTAACAAGATAACGCGCTTACATTAACCGGCATAGGATATAAGTGATGAGCTCCTGGCGTCGGTGGAGGCTGTGCAGTGTAATACTGTGGCCCAGGTGGTGGTGGTGCGGGCGGAGGTGGATGATGAGGATGTGGGGGATGTTGCGGATGCTGAGGATGTCCCGGATGAGGTGGGAACGCGTGGTACATCTGCATGTGCGGAGGCGCTGGCGGCAGAGTGACACGATGAGACGGCATTGGGCCGCTGAATGTGGCGATAGAGTGGTGAGGATGTACAAAACTGAAGGGGCCTACTGCGTACGGCATGCCGACTCCTGGAAAAAAATTGCAATAACGTATGTTGAGACAGTTTGACGATATTTTTTATAAGAGCAGAGCGATTTTCGTTTATTTTACCTAAAGGTGCCAAAGTTGTAATTGTTGGATGAGCGGAGTACGGCTGAGGTGGGGGTTGCGTGCTAGTCACAACAACTGCTTGAGTCGGCCCCGGCATCATTTGGTTATTCGGTAAATCCACGGGAGGCCCCGGTTCAACTAACAGTACCCCATTGAGATCCAATTGCAAAGGATCATGTGGAACTTCATCCTGCTGGTCACCGCCAGGATTTCGCTGTTCAAAAAAGAACACGAAGAGAAACGTATTTAATAAACTAATCGACAAACACACATCACATCCGCACACCGTCAAGCTTTCAACTTACCCGGAGAAACAACTCGTACCAATACTTTGCCACTTGGAAAAGCACTTCTGGGTAAACACCACCACCTTTCGCGGTGTTTTCCACTGTGATGCAGGCTTTCTCCAACATAGTTTCACTCTGCTCCTTACACTGTAAGAGAAGAATAAAACATCGTGTAATAATCAAACTATATGTAATTAACAAAAAATAGAATGTAAAGTATAACTCAATAGCGTCGTGCATACTTGAGATATAGCTCTCTGGATTTCATTGGGGTTGAGAGCGTGTGCGTGCGGTAAACAAGATAAAGCGAGCTCTGCCGCCGCTCTGACCATATTCGGGTCGCTTCCTCTCGAAGACTTATCGGCTATACTTGCAGCCTCCGGTGGTGTCAAGTGGCCTTCCCAGCTATCGATGAGGAACCAGATAGCTGGGGCTCCGATTTCCATCGCCTGGCCTGTTATCCAGGATACGTGACTCGAGTATGTGCGACTGAGCCAATTTGGACTGACACAATTATGCAGACCGAGGGAATATAAGCCAAGTTGAAAAGCGCACATGTGAAGCGCTCTATGCGGACCATGATGATTCTGACTGGTGGATGGTTGATGGAACAATGAAGTGGAGCTGGTGCCACCAGCCTTCGCCAGGACTGTTTTAGCAAGTTCACACATGAAATGTGCGCTCGCTTCCGACGGCTGGTTGGGAATAGACGGATATACTCTTTTACTCTTATATCTGGACACAAAAAAGGAAAACAGAGATATTAGACACAACTCGTCGCACAACACATATATTTTATTGGACTGTGTAATAAGTAATTTTGGACTTTTCAGGTAAAATGAAATAGTTGTTTCAATATTATAGTTTTATGAAACAATGTATGTACAAAGGATGGTAGAAAACGGTGTATACATCGTTAAAATTGTAATTTGTCATAAAAATACAATTATCTTATTTTACCTAGCAAAATCCGAAATTATTTAACCCAATATTATAGTATAATTTGTTTCACAAGCACATACCGTTCTTTAGTTCTAATAGGCACAGATGGCTGAACAATCTGCGGTTGTATAGTCAGCGCACTCATACCACTCTCTAGCTCTGCGCTGGTGCTGCTGTGAGGTCTACTGCTACCGCCGACGATATTATCAGCATTCCCACCGTTATCCGTCCCGGCAAGAGGCGACGAGCGTTCATCATCGTGAACACATCTTGACATCTACGATTTTTACGAGAACGACGTTAAAAATCACACGAGAACACTTCATATTATAAGAGAACCACAGTTTTTCTTGTGATCTTCTCACCTCGCTTTTAGTAGGTGGATTGGAGGTATAATAGCTACTGAGAATGGGTGATTTGATTAGTTGATGCACATCTCGGTCGAGTAATTTGTCCATGATTCTAGCCAATTTGACAGGATCGTCTTTGTAATGAACGAGTAAAGTAATAGCCAACTCCCCTCTGAGAAAGAAAGAAATTGCGTGTTTTTATCTATATTATCACGCATACACACAAACGCACGCTAATATTAACAAAAGTTACCTCTGTCTACGTGTTCCTTCGCAAAGAAGTGGATGATCCGCTTCGCTCACATTCGCCTTTAATCCCAAGACAGCTACGGCCGCGTCAAATCCGAGATTCGGATCGATCTCTGCCGGCAATTTCACTCCTAAGAAGCATTCCATCTTAATTTTTCTATCAACCTTATAGATTGACCTGATTGATTGACCTTATGATTTAATAAACAAATTTTTAATTAAATATGTCTAAGTATAATTTAATTTAAAAAGTATATTATTTAAAATTAATTTATTTATGGGAAATGGCATGAAAATATGGTGCCAACAAGAATTTGTATTTTGACAACGCATTTAGTGTTAAATGATCGTCAAACTAAAGTAAAATTACATGTAAGACAAATATAACTTGGAATTGAATGATCACATTTAACGCTAAGTGTGTAGTCAGGATATGAATCAAAGTTATTGCATACTTGGTACGTCAAGCGCGTCATATATGAAACTAGCTAGCATGATGGGCAAGAGTGCGTGTCCTCTCGATCGCATAACACCGTCCCTTAACTGTTCTGCTCTCTGTCGTATCATAGCTAATTCCGCCGGTCCTAAGGGAATTCTTTTTAATAACACTACTAATTCGCTCTCTTGATGAGCCAACTTGACCTGGTTAAATGGAAAGTAACGATTAATCCTGAGTGAACACAACAGAATTCATTTCCTACAACTCCTAAACCTGATCCTACCTCCAACGGTTTCGTGTTTGCCGGCGGCCTGGCCATTTCTAAGCCGAAGAGGCCCACGCGAAACGCCAGATTGTGATGTTCCGGATTCTCGGCCAATACAGTGCATAAGAATCCGCATTTCGCCAGAGTCGCCGACGCGAGACACGTTAACTGGTGAGACGCCGGATTCACGTGTTGCTGTAACGTCATTACATGATTAGCTGGCTTAACATTGCGCCGCATTGATTCAGCGGGTAGTCTCTCTCCATTTGTAAAGACGTTACCTTTTTCCGTTTGCTCTTCACCGGCGCTGGCGGTCCCTCGATCATGAGGTCGGGCGGATTAGCCAAGAGTTCCTCGGCTAGCTGTACCCCAAGAATACAAGCCTCTCTCGTGTGACCGTGAGCGTAGAGTCCTTCCGCCCGCGAGAACAGTATGTCCCATGGGTCCTCGATCTTCTTCAAATTATCTAAAACTGTACTAGCGTCCGGAATAGTCGTGGTGTGGGTATTGCTTTTCACGTATTTGCTTGGCAAACCACTGCTGCTGGTCACGGTCTTCGGATCATAATAATATACATGATATTCATCGCCGGAGTGACCATCACTGCTGGACGAGAGATTCTCGTCCTTGAACGGCCGTCTGGCTTCTTTCTCTTGATCAGATTCTTGTTCACTCTTGACGGTGGTGTTTTTAGAGACATGCACGTGCGACTTGTCGCAATTCTCCGGGAGATTCATACTACTACAGTCAATCTCACAAACGACTTTGTTATTACTACTGTCGTTACTATCACTATTTATCTCGGACGATGCGTTTGAGCGGGGATTGTCCGAGTCTTGAGCATCCTTCAAGCTGACATTGCAATTAGAAGACGACTCGCTGCCACCTCCCTCCTGAAACAATGCGCGATATGATATGAGGAAATACGTTAACGTAAGCGAAAACAACGTTAACATTCATTACGAAACTTGAGCACTGCATGAGAAAAATAAATAACCTGCGAGTCGGTGTCGCCACAGTTGGTCAGCTGAGCGCAACCTTGGCTGACGAGCACGACTTGAGTTTCCGTTATGTCAGGAATGTCGGTGTCATTCTCACAGAAACCTTCGGAACTAACGCTGCTGCGATTTCCGTCGCCGCCGCCACCTGCGTTTCTCGAGCACATCGAGAATTCTCGGGGATTCAATCGTCGTCTGTCCAAATAACTAAATTCGACCAGACCGACGTTCAACGGCCGTCGACTGTGATGATGCGAGATCGGTGGTTGATAATTCAATACAGCCGAACTGGAATTGACCTGAGGAAAAAAAGCGTTCGTCGAGCCACAGCCGAAGTCAACAAGAGTTTGTTGAAAAAATGATACTGACCTGATTCACCTCCGTTCTCGTGTCACCAACATGTCGGAAACAGGTGAAAGGACAATGATACATGGGATTACTACCAGCAGTGTAGGTGATCCCAGGTAAAATGTACTCATCCCAATCCAGGTAGCAAGCCTCAAGTGCCGGTTTGAATCCCGTGAAAACCGCGACATCATGTTTCAGGGAATCCTTCTGCATACCGCTGTTGTTTCTATTGTGCGAATTGTGCGACACAGAACTGCCACGGCTTTTGGTGACCTGCGACGACAAGCAATTAACTCGTTATAAACCCGTTATAAACTCTGTCAGGATTACGTGTCGAATGTATATAGAAGAACGCGCCGCTCACTTTGTCTATAATCTTCAAGTGCCAAGTCATAAACTGAGCATGCAACATCTCGCGCTCCGCTGGTGAGAGGCCGGGATTCAACGAGGCTAATCGCCATAGCACAACGATTTCGTCGCAGAGGGATGAGCACGCGTGCTGAGAAGCGTGGACGTTGCTGTTCATATTATGTTTGCCACCGTATCCGGTGCCGTTGAGTAACGCGACCTTGGTGTTGAACCACCAAACGAGGATCTGCTCGCAGGCCATGCACTCCTCCGTGATGATCTCCAGAAGAGGTATGGCGTTACGGTCATTCCGCTTGAACATCTCACGCACAATAGAGAGAAGGTTCCACATCCCCTCTGGTTCGCGGCCTCTAAGTGGTCGAAGCAACGAGGCCCATTCAGCAGCGGCGGGTGGCGCAGTGGTGCTTAGATAATTAACGTCACTGAAAGTTGGCAGAAGAAAATAACGTCGAGTCACGCGACATCGTACATAGTCCGGTGTAATAGCAGCCTTCACACATGAAATTTTACTTGTCTGATGTATTTTTTATGGCAGGTTCTAGAATGGTACAGATGATTGGAGGTTTTATCACACTTTTTAGGTGGTGAGGTTTACCTTTACGACATTTACCTTGATGAGTTTTGCAACGCCGACTCTTGGAATCAAATAGGAAAAATATATCTCTTGAGAACTACTAAAAAACCAAGTTTTTTATTCAGGATGCGTTACGAAATTCGTCGAGGTTAAAGCGTTGCAGCCTTGAATCACCTGATACTGTATATAACTTTATGTGTGAAAACTATTATGCCGGTCTATAATACATTTCGTATACACCTCGATCGGCGATCTACAGAGCTCGTCCGCAATATTCACCTGAACACGATAGGAGCGGGAACGCAGAACTTTATGAGGATCTTCTTTATGTTATCGTGCAACGTTTTCTCGTCTAAGTACCAGGACGTTTGATCGTGAGTGGAGGCTCCTGCGGTCGGGTCGGGCGCTCCGCAGTAAATGTTGATAGCGCTTGGTTGCATCGACAGTAGCTCGTCCAGCAGCCGTTGAGCAGTAGGTAAAATCTGCTGCGGTAATTCGCTGATGAGATACTGGGCAAACTTTTGTAGTTGTTCCCGATGTAATCTCGACAGAGACTCGCTGACCGGTGCCCTTAGACATACTTGCGTTGGCTAAAAGAGTGTTACAACATTGAAATAATTGTCTCTTCGTGAGAAGAATAAAACAATAAAATATAATACATGAAAGTAATATAATAATATAATAAAATAATATAATAAATGAGTAGAATAAATTTTTAAGTATATTTTTAAACAATATATGCTTTACTAATTGTTCTATACTGTAACAAAAGATCAAAATAATAATTATTAAAATAATTATAAATGTTAAAAAAAAGTTAAAAAAATATCAGTCACACACAAAATAACTCAAATCGAATTAAATAAACTCAATTTAAGAACTGTGTATGGCGAATCAATTGGTCTGATTCTTTCAACAAAATTTTGTTCCTTTAATCTCTTGTTATATAAAAGAATCTCAAAATATTGTTTAATAAGTTTGTCCATGAAACTGACCTGAGATATTATGTTAATTTATTTGCCGTTTAATTTACTTGATTTTTTTCATCAGAAGTGGAATTACTCATATTATCGAGTAATTTAGATCATCTTTTTGGTAGCCGAAAAAGGATATCAGTATTATACAACTACATTTCAATTTTTTTAGCGCTTATCGTTGTCTACATTTGTAGTTAAAAATCCTACGTTAAATCATCGATCTGACATGATTTTCCTTCAATTTGACTCGACTACAGCTTGTGCAATTTCAACAAAATTTACACAATATCAACATTTGACTTTTTAACACAATTGTTTCTTTTCACTGCCTAATTGTTTTGTTTTCAGTGTAACATTACTCTTTCCGTACCATGTGTATCCTGTGTAGGCATACGGCTACCACATGCGCACACCAGTAGGCCGTTGAGGAGCAGGTGCAATTGCACGACGTGATTTTCCGTCGATCGAAGGTCACGGCAACGTTGAACTGAGGTCGCACGCCGTTCGGTACCATTTGCGGGTTCACGCTGGCGTTCAGATGGAATCCTGTTTCAGATGCGCCACAAAGGTGCGATTAGCGTGCGGTCATCATCATTGAGAGCCGAAGTGTTTAACACATTGTTGATCTGATGTTTCACACGCTTGCTCCCGGGCCTTGCTTTGACTACTGTCAAAACATGAGACAACTCGTGGACCGGCCAGCGGTCAGTTTCGATCAGCAACAAACAGAGTTGAGCAAGTTAATTTTTTTCAATCTAAATTATATATAAGCTTCAAGCTAACGGCCATAATAAATAAACTTAATTTATATTAAAAATTTTATATAAACAAGAACTAATTCAATTAAAAGTTAACATTAAATTAATTTACTAAAGGTAAAAGTTAATTATGTAAAGCGATATATATTTTTCTGCATATTTAGGTTTTTAATCAAAGATTGAAATAATAAAAAATCAAATTATTAATAAAAAAGTAGGCTTTTATAAAAAAAAATACTAATGTTATGTGCTCAGGATTTTATATAAGATGAGAACATTAATGCTTAGAAAGATCAAACAAATTCTCTTGTCATTATTTTTTTTATTTTTCTTGTTCTGCACTTGCAATGTTTAGCATCTCGCAATGATTTAAGTATTGATGGATTATTTAAACTTATATAAAAATGTTAATAAGTTAAAGTTAACGTTTAAAAAAATAACTAAGTTAAATACTTGACTCGTTTAGAATTAATTAAATTAGCTTAACAATTATATTAACTTGTTAACGTGCGCGCGTCTTAACTTTTAACTGATCACCTAGTTATTACCCAACCCTGACAACGAAACACGTGTTTCCTCATGATCAGCCAACAATGTGTTACGAACAACAGAGAAGTTTCCAACACATTGGACGAGGCACATTGTCTTACCGATTTGCAAAGGTTCCTTCACGCTTCTGGAACGGAATAGATGTTCTCCGCGAAGGAACTCGTCGGCGCTGCCATTCGCCAGGCATGAGTAGAGGCGTATATCCTCTTCGTTGTCGGGAAAGCTCCAGAAGGCGATGCGCAGCTGGAGCTGTTCCGGTACCGGTGGGTAGAAGTGCTCCACCAGCTCGAAGGGGATATGAGAGGCGACGCATCGTGCTGCGAGCTCGCACAAAGTTGGCACCAGTTGTCCGTCTGTGGAAAAACGAGATATTGATCATAACAATGTCTTTTTACGTGCACGAAAAAAAAAGATCTGCTACATATGGACAATTCAATATAATTCGCTGTATGTAATTCCCTGCAACAAAAAAGTAGTTGAAGCAGTAAATTATGTTTAGTTGTCCATCTGTAGCAAATTTGCTACGTTAGCCACTTTTCTTGTTGTAGAAGCAGACTTTCTTGTTATCACAGCAAGAATATGGGTTCCTGCAGCAAAGAAAAAGTAGCTAACAGCGAATTATATTTAACTGTCCATACGTAGCAAATTAGTTTGCTGCTGCAGCGAATTATTTTTTTCCGTGTGGCGATGACTCGAAAAAAAATTTATCAGTAATTGGTCGCAAGGATGAATTTACAGTGTCGAAATTAGTGTCGAATGCGATACGCCCGTGAGTTTGCGACTTTGCCTCTCTTTCTTTCTTTCTTTCTCTCTCCCCCTCTATTCCTTTCTCTTGTTTTCTCATCCACGTGCAAACCGCACCCGCTTATTGCGCAGCTGGAAAATAATTGCACGGTATTTCAGCCGTCCTCGATATTATTACGACACGCGCACCAGGCTCGTGTAGAAAAATAGTTTGTCGGGAGTTAGCCGCGACAGCAATATTTTCTTGCAACCGGTGAGCCGCGGAACACAACGGGGCAGGCACGTAACTATCCCCTATCCTCGCGATAACAACCGAGCGCGCTTTGCAAGCTTTCGCGAGCGAGTTCGCCGCTCGCGTGTCTACCGGCTCGGCCGATTTTCCCGAAAGATAAACTCGATGACGCAACGCTCGGGGGAAAAAGGGAGCAGGAAAAAGGAGAGAGAGCCGGAATTACCGTAGATTTTCGCGAAATCGTTCCGGGAGCCTTACGCATAACCTCCCTCGCGCAAAATTCGAAGCTTCAATGCAGCGGACAAATTGTCTTTTTAAGGAAAATTCTCTCCAATTCCAAAGAGACTGAACATGACAATTCACTGACAGAACATTTTTGTTAAATAATACAGCATACTAATAGTACATTGAGAGAAATTACTCGATAAAAAATTAACAAATGGATATTTTCGATCAAAATACCAATAAATTTTCGTACCCGATCAGGAAACGTCCGATGAAAAATCGGTTCATAATTTTTTTATTGGTTTATTTAATAAAATGCCATTACGATTCGACTAAATATCCATTTAGAATTGCAGCATAAATTTAATCGGAAATATTATAATGCAGATTTTATTAAGCTTAATCTACAATGTACTCTTTGCTTCCTGTTTCTTGTTCTTTGTCCTTTTGTGGTTTAAGGTTTTTTCTGGCTTTAAGTAAAAAAAGAGATAAAGAGAAAGAAACAGAAAGCAAAGATATATTGTTCATCAAGCTTTATTGAGGAAGCAAAACATATATAGCGGCAATACAATTGTTTGGTTGCAATTACCAAACATTGATCCCAATTCAATCAAATTGTAATTCGGTGCACTAAATTTTCGTTTTGATAATAAAATTCCTTTTTCAGTATGGCTCAATTCGTACACTTGTTTTCACTCCCCTCTTTCTCTCTGTCCCCCCTCTCTCTCTCTCTCTCTCTTTGTCTCTCTCTTTCTCTCGCTTTCTCTCTTGCGAGAGAACGTGCGAGAGAATGTTTCTGCGACTAACAACGCGCGGCTTTAATGAGGGACAATAACGAAAGCAGCTCATTAACAACTTCAAACAGCGGCGCGGATAATTACGGACGCTAATACGTTTATGCTCGTTCTGTGTCGCGTCAAGCAGGAGACGCCGCCGCCGTTTCTCTCTAAATGGCTTCAATCGAAACACCATTCGCTCGCGCGTGCAATTATAATAGTCGGTTGCATCAATTCGTGGCGCGACGTCGGCATCGACAAGCGCAACGCAGAAAATCATTTCTCCGCTCGCATGAAACGCGTGTCACACGTCTACCGCGTCCGGATAGAGCCAAAAATACATCCGAATTATACCCACGCGCTCGGCCGCCCTCGCGACATGATGTAACATTAATTCCTACATCACTCTCCTCGGATTATCTCTCCGCGAAATGGTAGCAGCCGCGCGAGCAGTCAATGGGAATAAGTGGATTCGTCTCGCGATGCGGGCACGAGAGGGAGTCTCACGCGAAAGTCCGCATTTAATTAAGTTTGGATGCACCGAGAATAACTCGGATAATATCGCGACACGACGACTGGCCGCGCGTTCGAAAGAGAGAAATAGAGAGAGAGAGAGAAAGAAAGAAAGAGAGAGGGAGAAAAGTCTTCGTTGGAGATAATTACGATCGATCATATCAATCAATCATTGTTACTCGTCGTCAGCGCAAGGTAGTCGAGCGTAATAAAAAATTTCATGGCGTCTCTTGTACGCGAAGCTTCATCACAGGGAACGGTATACGAACAACGGCCGAAGAGAACACTGGTCTACGAAAAAAAAAAAAAACTTCTTGCCACATGGATCAAATTATGTGAAAATCTATCAAACTATATACTATTTTTTTAGGTTAAATTAACAAATGCAAACTGATTTTTTCCATCATCCAGTGATGTGATATTTAAATTATGTGAGCTATATAATATTTTCTTACGTTAAACAAATATGCAAACAGACTTTTTCCATTATCCAGTGATGAGGTCTTTCAATGATATAATATTTAAATTTCAAGAAACTTGATTTTCTTTATACAGACATAGTTTAGAAAGAAATATAAAAATGTATCGGTTCCTATCATATCACGGAGAAAAAAAGCAGTTGGATAGATAAAATCGACGATCACTGGCTATCAAAGAAATATCATATTATATAACAACATACGCGTTAGTACATCAATAAATGGCGTTGAAATGACTATATCTGCACTGATATAGTAAAAGCAACGCAATTTATTGTTGCATTAACGTGTATTTTGTTGAACAGATCCAATATTTCTTTGATGGCCGATTGTGTCGATCCAATCATCTTTTTTTCAGTGTAGTATCTACTGGGAAACAATTTTATAGTAAAAATTGCTACAGAAACCTTTGCAGTCGAAGAATCGACATTCTGCAATAATTGAATATCCTTTCATTTCATATGTGCTATTTATATTTCAGGAACACTGAAATGCGCTACGTTTCTAACGAAATTTACTCTGTTCCTCAGCAAGACAGTCCTTATTAACAGTCTATTTTTGTACAGCCAGAAATATAGTGAAATTCGCTCCAAGATTTGGTTCCTATTTGCCTATTAATATGTTAATATGTTCAATAAATTGTACAAAATAAAAAAATTCCGTTAATACAGTCACTAATCATACGCCCACGTGACAAATTATCTATAATCAACTTGGAGAGAAATGAGGGGAGGGCAGATTCGTGAATCCCCTAATTCCTCCTGCGTCCCGTTGGGGTGGCGAGTCTCGCGGAAAAATTCTCTCTCTCTTTTTCTCTTTTTCTGCACAATGGCGCAATTACATTACGATACAGTCGAAATATCATTTCCCCAGCGCGAGCGGCTGTATGCAACAGTTTCCGCGGAATATTACTCGGTGCTTTATCGATCCCGCCGGCTGGCGGGCGCGCGAGTTTCAGTTATCAACAAGAGCGGTAAGTAGCGCCGGCTATTTTCCCAGAAAGTAAGACTGTCCAATCGATAGCGGAAAATGCGTTTCCCGCGCTGCAGGCGCGTACACGTACACGCACGAAACGGAGTGGTGCACGCTCTGCATATTCATGATTAACTTTACACGGAATACAATGCACCGAGAAAACACCTCTGGTCGTTCTGAAAATAGTCGAGCGGGTTAATGAATGGACGCTCGTTCGCGGAACACACAACGACATTGCGTAAACACGCTAGTCGTGTACTTTCTGCGCGCCGCGTCATTCGACCGCGCGGAAATTCGCGCGAATCGCATCGCGCGAAATTTCCGACAGGTCGCCGGTTGCGCGCGCGCGCGCAAAGGGAGAATACCGTTAAATGAGTAAAAAGCGCACTTTTTCCTCTCGCCTTCTGCTCCGCGGCCGGAGACTTCCTCCTCGCGTACGCGGGGGACCGTAACGAGCTTCGTGGTCGCGGTTTTGCCGCGCAATGTAATTTCCTGCAGTTTCAACGAAAGCTGCGGCGGCGGCCGCAGCCGCGCCGGAAAATTCTCTCAGATACCCGCACTCCATGGCTCGTCCAATTTAGCGTCGAGCACCGACAATTTGCAAAAATTTCCACTGCTTCGCAACCATGTTGCTTTTTCGCGCAAAATTCGCTCGATCGAGCGGGCGGGAGGAGAGAGAGAAAGAGAGAGAAAGAGGGAGAAATAGATAGATAGATAGATAGATAGATAGATAGATAAATAGATAGATAGATAGATAGATATAGATAGATAGAGAATCGCCTTTTATTGTGCATTCCAAGAAATAGTCCCCTAAAACGCAACACACAGAGAAGAATTTAGTAAATATTATCAAAATTTTGTTACTATTACTAAATGGTAGACGTAAATATAGCGGGCCAAAGCTATGGCAATACTTATTAATTAATTTAGTTCTGTAAAATAAATTATTTATTTGACAGAAGTAAAATTTATTTGCTTCCAGAATATATTTGGTAAATAAAACTTACTGAATAGTTGAGCAAAATAAGCGATTTTGTAATAGTTACAAAATTTTTGATAGGTTCAACCAATCATCTGTAATAATAGGTATTGAAACAATGTAATAACTGCAAATGAATGAATTTTTCGTTGTGCTGCAACAAAGCATACTTATACTGGTAACAAAATAGAACTCGTACCTACTGAATTTTTTATTACATGGGATATAACAATTTCATAACAATTATCAAATATCTGCTCATAATATATTTCATATTAAATATTTAACATTAAGTAACTATTACTAAATTATTTAATTGATGTTACTGTGAATGCAATTACGTCATACTCCCGATCTATTAAATATTTGGTAATTATTATTATATTTAGTATTAGTTACTAAGGATTCAATGAATTTCTGTAACTAAATG